TGTGAAAAAATGAAAAATGGAGAATCATTATCCACTTTTGAAAACCTTGTACAAAAACGATAATTTTTCAAAAGTAATCAGGATTCCATTCACAAATACTTTGATGACTTCTTTCAACCTACTTCCCTATAATATAAGTCTTACCTGCCAACTGGCATTTAAAAGAAGCAGTGTTGGTTCCAGAATGAGCTACTAAGATTTATTCCAACCTCAACCTTACTAGCAAAACTACAATTACTTTTTTTCCAAGATATCACACAGGCTAGTTTCCACCTGACCATCTGGTGCCTGGCAATCTCTTGCCTCTTGCCAGAATTACCCACAGCTGAATTGGTGTTGGTTTGTTACAACTAATGCTTTCACTCCTTTGAAATGGGAACCTTTCCCAAAATGCTCCTTTTCCAGCAAGAGGCTCTTTAAGGTCTGGGTAAACCAATTTTAAAAGTTGTAGGCTATAGCTGCCTCTCCTGTATTCAGTAAATATTTGTGGGTTTTTTTTTTCTTTTTGAACACCCAAGTGACTTTTTCCCTTCCAGGTTTGATTTTATGCTTCCTCTGGGCTTACCTTTTTACAGGATTATGTGTGTGTCAAGCTCCACGATTCTTTGACTTCTACCCATTGCAATGGTGCAGTTTCACTTGCAGTCTTATTGACAACAGACAACAATACAGAGATTTCAGAAGGGATATATTCTCATCCAACTCATAGCAAAGAAGATAGAAAGAGTTTCCTGGCTCTTTAGCGAGAACAAGACAGTTTCCCATGGGATTACATTCATATGGCTAGCAATTTATATTGGTTCTGGTGTGATATATGATGGAAATCTGACTGTTTCCCTAATCCCCTATGAAAAAGGGGAATTCCTGTACTTTTAGCTGAGAGAACCACAAATTGTAAATGCTAATATTTAACAGTAACAGAATAGGTACTGAATATAAATCTGCATCTTAACTGCACCCTGTTGATCTCTTCTGAAATGCTGTGGGGCCTGCTGATTCAGTCAACCACCTTGCTCCTATGGGGTTAGTTCGTTACTACAAGCAACAGAAACAAAAATATCATGGGTTTTTGTTTTTTTTCCTTCAGTACCCAACTCTGAGGTTCACATACTATTTTTGTGCTACATGGTCATAAAAAACATCAAAAACCGAATAGCAAGTAAGACAAAAAAGTAGCCAAAAGTAGAGGGTGTTTTTTGGTTTTATCTAATGAAAGTGTTTGCTGTTGCTTTTTAACTCAGACTCGCCCAAATGTCTGTCCTACCAAATCAATTTACAGTAAAAGCTCTGTTATCCGGCATCCCCCGGGAATGGCGGATGCCAGTTAATCAAATATTCCAGTTAATCAAATGTGCACTGTCTGGTACGCTCCTTGGAATCAGTGTCTTGGGGGGCCCCGTGCAAGCTGCTTTGCCCTGGGCTGTGGGCCGAATAAGTGGGAAAGAAAAACTCTGCTCACAGCGACAACACCCGGAAGTGGTACTTACAGTTTCGCTTTTGCCGCATCCCTCGGATGCCAGTTAATAGAGTTTTCCGGCTAATAACATGCTGGTTAACATGGCTGTTGCTGTAAAACCGGCTAATAACATGCTGGTTAACATGGCTGGTGCTGTGACATTTTATCAGTATGAGCACCCCATACAGCTATAACAGCTTCCACCAAAGATATTAGTGATGCAAAGCTCTAAACGTATCTGTAACTAGTGGAGTGGTGAATTTTTCTGTTTTTTTAATTTGAAAAATCCATTTTCCTGTGTAGGTTAGCCAAGTTTATCAAGTAATTAAAACAACTACATTCAGAACCCCTTTTTCTAAATGAGTTTCCCATTTGTAAGTGCTTGCTGCTGTTATAAATTTTATTCACTCTCTCTGAATATTGAGTTGGGTTAAAGGAGTACTGCTGATGAAAGATAAATATCTGTCTTTTTGTATACCTTAGTGGATTGGTTGTATCTTCAAATGTTATCTGTGTTATTTGATAAATTGGGTTCATTAGTAAACGAGGTTTAAAAAAATCACATCTACACTTTTTTATATAATGCTAGTCATAAATTTAAAAATTCTGGTATTTGTTTTGGTTACTTTTGTGTAGCCTATGACATTAATATAAATTCAGAGCAACTGGCCATTATTAGCAACAATATTGATTTCAATAGAGTTAAAAAATAAACTGTCTAAGCTGATGGGATCAAAGTGAATTTATCACTGGAGTATATGAAACTATTCATTGGTTTCTGCAGTTGTCTAACAAATATTTCATAGGACTGTGTTAAAGTTAGTTCAGAGTGTTTTGCAAAAATTGCTGTTTAAGGTGTTTTTATGTGGCTATTGATGAGACCAACTTAAAAACTGAAGTGTGTGCCTGGACTTGACACAAGCTGGGGGAACAGTGCTTTACTATCAAAATGATACAAGGTGCTTTATCAAAATATCCTCTGAACTTATTTAGTGTTGATTGAATGATTCATACAATTTACTATTTGAAACCTAGTACAAGTAATATTCATAGCTCTGTAAAAATAGATGTTTACAGAAGTGAAACTAAACTATTTCTCAACTTAGCAGAGCATGAAGTAGAACCACCATAACCTAATACAAAAATAACTTAAACAGTAACAGCAGAAGTTGTTATTGACTGAGACTCTCATGCACTTTTAGTACTGGAGCTGAAGGTTTGACCACTGCCTCTCAATTATGGTTCAGCACTTTAATTACACTCCAAAACTTTATTAATATAGAAGATTGTTGTTGTAGCACTTAAATTAAATCCTCTTCATGAAGAGGAGGAAAATTAATGTCTCTCACTTCTGTATAAAAGCAGGATATCGTGTCCTTCCTTGCTGTGTGTGGGTTTTTTTGTGTGAAAGAATGGAGGGACAGAAAGGAGAATTCACAACTGAGATCCTTAAGTGACCAGGAGGTATCCTTGCATTAGTACTGAGTAAGGTGACTAAGTCCCAGAGACAGGCAGGGAATTAAAAAAAAACCATAAACAAAAATAATAATAAATATAATTTGTAAGCTAATTTAGGGGGCTCCCGGCTCAAGTACAGCTTTGGTGAAATACATGCTAAATTGACTTACTCTCCCTACCATTATTGGTATGGAACAACTAAGTGTTTTAACTTGGGGCTTTGGGTTCTGCCATGGGGGCCTGGCACCAAAGTCCTCTTATAAATTTGGGGTTAATTGACTTGTTCAAGATGTCAAAGAATTCTGTGACAGGAGAGGGAAGTCCCACGCTGGTGCCCTAACCACTATACCAGACTTCCTCTCTAGTTTATGCATGTGTAAATATTCTGATGACTCTCAATCTCAAGCTGACATCTAGTAGGTCCAATAAAAGATATTGCCAAAAAAAAAATCCTTGCTTCTTTCTTATTTTTTTGAGCCACCCTGGCCACAACAACACTCCAGCCCTGCTACAGATGCATGAGAAACTCATGACTAAATCCCATGAATTCCTAAATCAATCCTGCAGAATACAGCAACCTGAAACTTGAAACATTTTCCTGAGTCTCTTTCTAACCTATAGAAGACTGAATTCAGCTCCAATAAATGTAGTCACATCTGACTTTCCTCTTCCCTGTCCTCCATGTTCTGTAAGACCTTTTTCTTCCTGATTAAAAAGACTCTAGCAGCTATGGCTCTGAAACAGCAACTTTTTAAAAGATTGCTTGCATTGTATGACCTACAGTGCCTTTGCTTCCACTAAACAAGTACAATCTGGGCTACTACCAAATTTGCAATGAGAATAAGGACCATCTCCATATGCACAGATTCCTGGTCATGGTGCTTTGCATGCATGTATCCTCATGGAAAAATTGGCCAACCGTGACCTCGGCTACACTGCAGTCTGATGGCTGGGAAACTGGCTCTAGGGTTGGACCCAGAAGGCAGTGGTCGATGGCAGCGAGTCATTGTGGCACTCTGTAACCAGTGGCATCCCCCAAGGCTCTGTCCTTGGACTGGTTCTCTTCAACATCTTTATCAACGATGTAGACATTGGTGTCAGAAGCACGCTGGTTACGTTTGCCAATGACACTAAACTTTGGGGCAGTGTCCACACCTGAGGACAGGCTAGTGATCCTGAGTGACTTGGATAAGCTTAGCAAGTGGGTGGATATAAACCTGATGACATTTAATACTGATAAATAAAAGGTACTCCACCCTGGGGTGGGGGGAACCCACAGCATACTTACAGGCTCAGCAGTGTTACATTTGCTAGCACCACTACTGAAAGAGACTTGGGGGACATTATTGACCACAAGATGAACATGAGCCACCAATGTAATGTTACAGCTGGTAAATCAAACAAAACTCTGGCCTGCATCCATAGATGCTTCTCAAGTAAATCTCAGGATGTCATCCTCCTGCTGTACTCGGCCTTGGTGAGGCCGCAGCTGGAGTACTGCATCCAGTTCTGGGCTCCACAATTCAAGAAGGATGTCGAGAAGCTTGAAAGAGTCCAAAGGAGAGCCACGCGCATGATCAGAGGGTAAGAGAATAGGCCTTATAAAGAGAGGCTGAGAGCCATGGGACTCTACAGTCTGGAAGAGCGCAGGCTCAGGTGGTACCTGGTGGCTGCCTATAAGTACACAAGTGGTGTTCATCAGGATCTGGGAGAATTGTCTGTTCACCAGAGCGCCCCAAGGAAAAACAAGGACCAATGGTCATAAACTCCTACAAGACTGTTTTAGGCTGGACACAAGAAAAAATTTTCTTTACTTTCCAAGCCCCCAAGCCTTGGAATAGACTCCCTCCAGATGTGGTGCAGGCACCTACTCTGAACTTATTCAAGAAATGCTTGGATGCTTATCTTGCTGGGGCCCTTTGACCCTAGCTGACTTCCTGCCCCTTGGGAAGAGGGCTGGACTTCATGATCTTCAAGGTGAAAATGTACACACTGCTCCATGGACTGCAATTTGCCAGTTCATGTTGACAAAGTTGTTCTTGATACTTTCAAGTCACACGGCTGGGACAGAACACTCATTCCATGTAACTGTGGCAGAGGCATATCTGCAGTATGGGATTCTGTCTTGACAGCTCATTGACTAGGGGCAGAAATTACACAAACTGGTATAAGTGATTGGAAACTGGTTCAAATTTCTAACACAACAAGTTCAGTGCACATAAACTGCTCTCAAAAATGACCAAAACAAGTTTAAGATAAACCTGGATGGATGTAACAGATAGACATATTGAACTTCTGTCCCAGCATCCTCCAGATTCAAGTTAACTCACAGTCCCCCAGCAACCCAGGAAGCTTTGCACCTCTCCAGCAACCTCCCCTCCTTTCCCCTCCCCTTGCAGTGTGGGTGGGATAGCTTTAGCCCAAGCTGTCTGCTCTAGCTGAACATGTAGATGTGCTCTGGTGCCCCTCAGCTTCTGGCCTGGGTCAGTGCAGGCATCTGGCTGTGTTTCCAGAATCAAAACTGAATGCCTGTTCATTTGCTTGTTGGTTCAATCTATACAGCTTAGACTAACCAGTTTTTAGATTTGACTCAATTCAGCCTTGGGCTTTTTGACTGTCTGTACTTGAGCCTTTAACAGAACATTAATACTGGCAGAAAAGGAATAAAAATGACTGGGAGTGGGAGGTGCTAGACTGACAAGCAAAATCCTGCCCCCCCCACCCCCATGTAGCTTGTCTATGCAATGCTTAATAGAAATGGAGGTTAGGGAGAACAGGATGTGTCATAATAACTTATATGTACCTTATAGAAGGAAAGGATAATATACTGGGGGTGGGGGGTATTATAGGATTAAAACTGAGAAACAGAAATGAATGCCAGGGGAAACTTCATGTGGCTGATACCTGTTATACTCTCCCTAGAAAAACAGTCATACATGGGTTGTTTAGAACTAGGCTGGATAAAACACTAAAAAGGAAACAATCCTACAGGGATTTGAAGAGAGACAAATAGGTCTTCACCACTCTAATTTGTCCTGGCTTAATTCTGAACAAAGAGAATTCAAGACTAAAGCCAGAAGCCCTAATTTGCTTTGAATTTTGAAAGTTTGAAAGATTCAAGGTCTCAGATTTGAATATATTCCTGGCTAAATAAAAAGCTGGAAGAGGCCTTAAGCTTTCTGTATTGGTTCCCCATCTATAAAATGAAAAAGATGATATTTATTTCTCCCCCTTACATTACTGTTATGCACAATTCATTAACTAATTCATTCTAAAGTATGAATCCTAAGCCCATTGCATAGCCTAACAGATAAACTGTGTTCCAGCTTATATAATAAGGAAGAGACCCATTTGTAGAATCCAAGGATAGTTGCTTTTATGATTTATAAGCAAAATTTCTGCCTGCATTAGCCAAAACTTGGGCTGGATGTTCCAAGAAGTCCCTTCTTAGTTCTATGATGGAAACTTGAGAGGTGATCTTTTTACATATTTGAGAGCAATATTTTTGTGACATGTATGGGTTGTCATGTGGCATGAATACTAATATTAGCCTAATGCAATTCAGACTCGAACCCAGATACACATGCAAGTATAAATCTACTTCTCTCCACTGGTACTTTTTTTGCAACATGTCAGACTAAAACCCTAGATACAACAAATATTTTCAACTTTGTGGAAGCCAGGACCTAGGTCTGCATTTATGTGGCGCTTTCGGAAGAGAGAGAATAGTTATAGGGGAAAGGATCAGAGTGCACTATTGATTCATGCTGACTGTTTTCCATTTGAAAAGTAATGACTTCTTGGCCTGCATCCAACTCAGCATCACAGATACCTGTCAATACCCATGTAGGTTGTTTTCTTCTCAGAAACGTAGATTCATCAAAAGTCCTAGGAATGTTTGTTCCTAAATGAAATATGTGAAATATGCCCCTTTAATTATCTTGTGTTCCACAAAGCTAAAAGGTTGTCTAGCCATAAATAAAAAAGACAAACATACATCCTTAAAAAAGCTATTTGCTTCATTAAAGTAAAACAGCCTTCCAGGTTTCCCTGTGTAAACATACTACATCAATTTAACAGAGATGCATATCATTCAAATATGAGACAACCTGTCAAATGTAATTGTAATTTTGCTTAGTGAGTTGTGCTTATGCCCCAGTGTTGCACTGGGAGCTTTTGTAAGAGTATGTTTTTGGCACAGAATGAAAATGCAAGCTCTGGTATAGTAAGAGAACTACTTCTACTTTATTGACAACAGGCTTACAACAAACATTTTGAAGTGGCCCAGGAATATGATGCATTTAGCATCTTCCAGAAATCAAGTGCACTGCTCTTGGAGTGCCCCCTGCTGGATTATTCACAGGGCACACTAACAGAGAAGGATGCTCAGTTTCACCAGGAGATATTTTAGAATAGGTGTTGTCTTGTTTTGTTTTGTTTTTTAATATATGTAGCACAGCTAAACCTGATGGGGTAAACTAAAATCCACTGTAATGAAAAGAAAAGTGGGAAATGAGCCAGTAACAAAATGCTACCCTTAAACTCTAGACACTGCTGAGAAAAATTAACATTTCCCCCCAGTTACAGAACCCAGGCACATAGACAAATATGTATGTGTGTAATATATATCAGTATTTTTGCTTACGCACATACGCACATGCGTGTAAAAATCTTGATTAGGATATGTTTCATAGTTTCCAGGGTCGGAAGGGACCTGAACGGATCATCAAGTCCAACCCCTGCCATGGCAGGAATGAGTGCTGGGATCATAATACCCCAGCCAGATATCTATCCAACCTCCTCCTGAAGACCCCCAAGGTAGGGGAGAGCACCACCTCCCTTGGGAGCCCATTCCAGAGCCTGGCAGCCCTAACTAGAAAGTAATGTCTCCTGATATCAAGCCTGAACCGGCTCTCAATCAATGTGTGGCCGTTATTCCTTGTTATCCCAGGTGGTGCCCAGGGGAACAGAGCCTCATCTATTTTCTGCTGGTCTCCTCTCCCCTCCCCACAGTGAGTTTATAGATGGCCACCAGATCCCCTCTATCTTCTCTTGTGGAGGCTGAATAGATTTCTTCATCTTTGACTTCTGGAGAGATGGGTAAACTTTATTTACTGTACAGAGTACTATGTAACTTATTGAGAAGAATACTGCACTGTTCAGTGTAGTACAACAAATCACTAAGTATTTTGACTGTAGAGATGTTTACACATGCAGACTGAACATTTCTTTAAATTATTTACTAGTTATTCTGCCATGAGTAAGAATTAAATAAAATGTCAGTGATCTTTTGTGTTTTAATATAGAAGTTTAAGGGAAACTGTCTACACAAATATTAGGAGCACTACTTGTGGCACTACTATAATGACAAGTATTTTACAAAATCTTCCATTGTTTCCTTGCCATTATTCCTCTGTTGATAATCTTAAGTTATCAGCCTGAAACATACAGAAGTGAAACATTATAGCTTGACAATGTAAAATACTAATAAGGATTTTCTACTCTAACTCTATCCTACAGCAATGTTTAGACCTGTTTAACTCAGATATATATGCCACAGTTCCTGCATGGAATCTCTGGGTCCCCTTTCCTTCCGAGGGAAACTTGTAGGGGCTCTTGCTATTATTTTTAACATGAGCAGGATCAGAACCTTGAAACTGCAACTGCTACTCCTATGGGGGCCAAAGACAAGAGCTGATATCTGTTAGAATTGTTGTTACAGTTACTATAAAGCTGATTCAGGGAGATACTATATATCAACAGCCATACCATATTATCCTGTATTTTTTTTCTTAAATATATGTTAAAATATAGTGACAGGTGTGAAAATGAGCAAGATAAGGGTAAATAAAATATACTCTAGACTTAAAATATGGCTTAGTACAGCAGATGC